ATAAGTTTAGGGGTTAATCTGTTATAGAATTTGAGATTAACTTTATTTTGTGTTTTAGATAATTCTAATTATAATTGTAGAATAACATGATTTTGAATCGAACAACCCCTTATAGTCATAGAGATGTCAAAATATATTTAAGATCACAAATTTTAGAATACTTTAAGTACATAACAAAAGTGTGTTATTTTTTTTAAAAAATATTTTTAATTAAACACTACAATATAAAATGAAACAGAGTGGTATAACTAACACTCATTTATCTAAGCGATAATTTTTTATTTTTTTTGTATTTCATGTTTGATGTTTAACATCCACATTAAAATTCGACTAAGTTGAATTCATATGTTACATGACTTATTTTTTTTAAAGACGATACTACTAAAAATATTTTTTTAATTTTCAGGATTCGGACTCGAAATCTCCGAACCCATATCAAATTGATGATTCAGAGTTGGATTTATGATTTATGAACACTATGTTTCACATACAAGCTGGTACTATTGTACTTTGTCTGCAAATAAATTATAAATATTAAAATGAATAGTAGCTTGTTTTCAAGATATTCTATCATGATTATTTATTATTTTAAGGTAAGATCCGATGATTATTTATAACTGAAAGGGAATATTATGGAGGAATAATTAAATAATAATTAAAGACACAATTTTCGTAATAGATTTTCCTCTATTTGCCAGACCAAATCTTACTTCAAGATTTGGGCGTGACAGGTTTTATAATATTTTATTTTATACTATATGTTATATTGTACTAATTTTTCTTATGTATGTCTGATATTGACAATTGGGAGTTTGCTTTTGGACAACTTGACATATTTTTTTTAATGCCAAATATATCCTTCGATCTTATCGTTTTCTGCACCTTAAGAAATTAATATAAATTAATATGATTTCACATTATCTTGTTGGTGCATTTGGTTCCTATGTACTGATAATTGAGAAGTTATATATAATATATTGCACATGATTTAAAATTTATCCTGTTCATTTGATTGGTTTATATTACAAAAATAATTAGATGCTCCCTTGCTCAGCTATATATTGTGGCTTATTTTCAAAGAATTATTTTTTTCCGAAAATGTTAAAAGTTTGATTTTCAAAAGAAATTTATTGCGATGCCCCTGCTTAGGATAAGAAATCTCACATCAATAAAACCACAGGAGAGATGTTGAATATATAAGTAAGCATGTCTTATCAACTAGTGACATGTTTTAAAATCGTATGAGCCTAGGTCCAGAGGGGACAATATCACTAGCAGGCTGAGCCGTTATAATGAAGTTGTGATTTTAAATCAGTGTTTGAACATCAAGTAAACTTCGTTCATGATTCAAAGGGAGTATATAAATATGTGACTATTTATGAAATTTCTCCATAAACATTATTGATATTCAGACTTTAAATTTGTCACATTGTTGTACTCACTATGTTTCTAAATATACGATGTTCATAGCTTGAGCACACCCCTTAAGGAATTATTCATTTCTAGAAAAACAAAAAATGTTTTTACCAACTTAACCTTAATAAATATCTTTAAAAAATATATTTTTCTTTAGTAATTTCTTCTGAAAGAACATTATTAATATCTTCTTGATTATTTAAACGTCACTTATTTAGAAATAAAATGAAAAAAATTAAAATATCACTTATTAAAAAATGAACGGACTAGGTGAAAAGAAGAAATGTGTTGGTCTAATTTTAAGTTCAATGTTTCTGACTCTATTTAAATTTTTTGTTACCATAGCACAATAAAAGCTTACTAGGTAAGTTAATCGAAAAGTCATATACCTCAAAATTTGTGAGAAGTTGAAACACCCCCTCTATAAATAGATATACACACTTGGTATTCATTTTTTTTTTTAAAAGTTTTGTACAAACAAAAAATGAATATGAATATAACGAAGATTGGGCCAATTGGAAATCAAAAGGGAATTAATTGGAATGAAGAAGGAAGAAGTGAAATAGCAAAGATTTTTGTTTTTCACATTGAAGACAAGATTTGTTCACTTCAATTCCTCTTCTTTGAGAATCAAGACTTTGTTTTGTCTAACATACATGGTGACACTAATGATTTTTGTCGCAACAAAAACTTCGATATAGTAAGTATCCTCTTCTTTACATATATAATTTGGAACATTAGATAGAGTCTGTTTGAATTTGTTGATTGTAGATAGCAGATAAGTTTAAATGCGGAAATAAGTGTTGAAATTGACTTTACAAATAAGAAGTTACTTCTTTAAGTTAGGTAAAATATATTGTAAAGTTATTCTTTTATTAAAATGACTAAAGTATCCTTCTTTTTTTCAAGAAAATATTAATTCGAATAGTATTTGTGTAAACGAAAGGAGGGATGATAGATATAGAGTGAGGAGGAAGTTAGAAATTTTGTTTTGAAAAAATATTTTGAGAATAACTTATCAACATTTTTATTGATTTTGTTGATGCTCTATTTTTTGTTGTTGTTGATCTTTGCTTATAATCTCTTTGTTGTAAACCAATAAGTTAAAAGGTTCTTAAGTCAATTTGATCAATTTATAGTGAGACATTCCCTTGATTAATTTTGTAATCTGTATTATATTGAAGGTTGCATTGGATTATCCGTCAGAGTTTCTTACTGGTATAAAAGGTTCCTTTGACGGAGTGTGTTTGAGCTCAATAACATTTAGCACCAACAAGGGTTCCTACGGACCATATGGCTGCAAAAAAAGCATCACGTTACATAGAGTTCAATTTTCATATAGGAAATGATCGTTCGTTTGGTGGATTTTATGGCACCAAATATGGTAATTTCATAGAGAGTATTGGACTCTATGTAAAGACCATCACACCCTCCATGATCAAATTCAAAAATTCTCAAGTGAAGGTTAAAAAGGAAGAAGAAAAATGATTCAAGATGCTCAATTAAATTTTCTTAATTCGTCGTTTAATTGCTTGTAGATGATAATTTCTTTTTAATATTCTATCGCTAATCGTAATAGAGGGAATTAGAAGGAATGTTTATTCTTCATTTTGTAATGCGATAGAATTGAAAGTTTCAGAATATGCTTCTTGATATATTATGGTGGATTTTATTGATTTTTTTAACTTTAATTTGATATTTTTTTAAAATTGAAATCTAAATATCAATATAAATAAATAGGTGTATATCCATATAATTAGCGGTGTACCTATTGAATCAAGGCTAATCAGTCAAATATTCTTAGATTGCAAAATCATAATGCGCATATAAAATATAATATTGTGTATATTAATAAAAAATAACTTATTAAAGATATATACTAAAGTTTTAAATATATTCAATAAAATTCCTAGCTAGTTTCGTCATCGCATATAATCAAGTGATATTGAGCTTGAAATTGTCGAGCCAATAGCATAATTAATTGCCAAATTGTTGAATGGTGAGCTTACTCAACATATTTCAAAATTAGGCAACTTATGTACAAGTAATATAAGGTATCATGTTTGATATCTGTTAGGAGGTAAATTATTCATGTATAAAATCAATATCATATTTGATTTGCCATATAAATACATAATTAATATCAGCATAAAATAATTCATAAATTCTATCATAACTAATTGTTATATTATTTATATTTACTTAATTCTAACTAGCTACCAAACATCCTCTATGGGTTTTCTAACATGAACATCTTAATACAATTGACAAATTATTAAGATGGGGAGCAGATTTGAACCCTAATTGTGTGATGTGTGGTATTGTGTTTAACGTCATGTTTATGATTTTTTTTATGCATCTATGTAACACTATAAATAGAGGTCTTAAAGATTGTGTTGTACACACTTGAAGATTTGGAAAACATCTCTTTCTAGAAAAGATCATAAGAAAATCATAGATAAATGATATCCAACTTGAATGGTCGAATTTTTAGTTTAGAGTTTCGTACTCGGACACGAAGATCACTAGTCAATTAATCCAAGTTAATTTAAATTGCAGAATGAACAATCTAAGTAAAGAATTAGCTCCAGAAAGGTAGTTTATTGACCCAGTTCGATGAGACCTAACTTAACTATTTGAAACACATGTTTAAGGAAGTTTCAAAATGCTCTTTCTCGAGATACTTGAAAAGAAACTCTCCCCTCTTGTTTCTCTATTTTATTGTAGTATTTATCTTTATATTGTTCCGAGCTTAATTGTATTACAAATCAAAGTTTGATAAATATTGAATGGACATAAAAGACTAAACTATTTAGAGAATATTTTAAAAGAATTGTTTTTGTCATTTTGTATTCATTTTTATGAACATAACTCAAATAGATTTGTATTTTTCTCATTGGATAAAGAATCACCGGCAGAGCTTATTTTCCCCATTTTCTTCTTTTCACTGATAAACTGAGAAGGCATTTTCCGGCGAAGCAATTTGAACTGATAAAAAATGGCAAACGGAGAAGGTGAAGTAGTGTGTGTTACCGGAGGCAGCGGTTTTATTGGTTCATGGCTTGTTAGTTCTCTACTTGAACGTGGCTACACTGTTCACGCTACTGTTAAAGATCTCAGTTAGTTACCTTTTCATTTTGATCAATTTCTGGTTCGGATTAAGTTTTTTTCCCCCTAATTTTGTTGATTTTTGTTTGTTTTTAGATGATGAAAAAGAGACGAAGCATTTACTTGCTTTAGATGGAGCTGAATCTCGTCTTCGTCTTTATCAAATTGATTTGCTTGATTACGATTCAATTGTTTCTGCGATTACTGGTGCTGTTGGTGTTTTTCATCTTGCTTCTCCTTGCACTGTTGATGAAGTTAAAGATCCTGAGGTGGGTTCGAGAACCCCTCTTTATTTTTATTTTTTTTACTACTATTACTATTGGTCCAATGTGAAGCCAGAATTTGACTTTGTTTGTTCTAAATTCTAGGATAGCGATATCGAGTTATGTGTTTGGTTAAAAAATGTCCATTGTCATTGTATTTTTGGCACAAAAATACTAAAATGGCTAAAAAGTATCAATCTTTCTAGGGATTGCTCCAAAACAAGAAAAAATGGTTCAATTTTGCTCTTGAACTATTCAAATTGTCCAATTTTGAGTAATTAAAGGTCAAGATTGAGCCATTTTTCTTTGTTTTGGAGCAACGTTAAAAAAGAAGATATTTTTGAAGCATTTTGCTAGTTGGAGGATGTTCTTGAGCCAAAAATGTAACATAAGGTATTTTTGAGCCAAATAACAGTACGAAGAGTAAAACTGATCCATTTTGAATGGTTGAGGTATATTTGACTCATTTTTAATACAAATATGGTGTTTGAACTAAAGCTACACCGAACCGGTGGACTTCTAGTCTGGCCTCTGCTATTGCTCATTTACTTGTTCTTCAGATTGATTTGTAGTTTTGGTATTAATTTGCTATTCTGTCTGTTATCTACATGGGGTTGTGGTCGTGTGAGTTATAGAATGACCTTCTGTCACCAGCAATCAAAGGCACTAGTAATGTACTTACAGCATCAAAGGAGCTCGGTGTTAAGCGTGTGGTAGTGACTTCATCTGTATCGTCCATCACCCCAAATCCTAATTGGCCAGCTGATCGTATCATGAATGAGGATTGCTGGACTGATATTGAGTACTGCAAACAGAATGGGGTACATACATTTCACCTATCTTCTTTATCAGAATTATACCTTTCCCTTATCATGTTTCCATTTTTTTTTTGGTTTGAGATTGGCTTTGCCTTGCCTTTGACTTAAGTATAAAACTAAGTAGACACAACAGCATCGTGAAAGCCATGGAAGATGAAGAAAAAATTACCTTTGTATGCCTTATGGTTAATATCTTATTTGGTACTGATTAAATTAACTTAAGTCTTTAATTCTTAATCAGTAAGTTAGGCTAAAATATCAAAAAGAAAATAGAAGCAAAAGCTCAACTAAATCTGGACTTGCTTGGCTTTTGCATAGACAACACACATTTTGTGATAAAGACGCCTACTCCCTTCTTTTGATTTATGCTGAATTTCTTGTACATTTAGCATTTCTCATCAGCTCCCTTCAAATGATAATCTTATGGTTTAGGTATGGTATCCTTTGTCAAAAACGCTTGCTGAAAAAGATGCTTGGAAATTTGCCGAGGAAAAAGATTTGGATATTGTTGTGGTGAATCCAGGCACTGTAATGGGCCCTATTATCCCACCAAGCCTTAATGCCAGCATGCAAATGATTCTTCGTCTTCTTCAAGGTAACATTGAGTAATGAGTTCCATTTTCCTCGTGTCTGCAAGGAGATCCCTAGGATGCCAGGATGGGGTAGATTGTTGTTCCTATTTTTCTTCCGTTCAATTTGAATTCTTGTTGAAAGAATCAGTTCATTAAGTTATATTGCCACCTACTGATCTCTGCTGAACCTTTCTCTCAGAATCATATTTTCTGAAGCTTTTAAGTATCTTTGATGGATATTTAGTTATGAAACTTTGTTGCTGGTGTCCTCAACTTGCCTTGTCACTTTGTTTATACTCAGGCTGCACCGATACATATCAAGATTTCTTTATGGGATTAGTCCATGTCAAGGATGTGGCATTGGCTCATATTCTTGTTTATGAAAACAAATCAGCAAAAGGAAGACACATGTGTGTTGAAGCCATAACTCACTATGGGGACTTCGCGGCTAAGGTTGCAGAGCTCTACCCTGAATATAACATTCCTAGGTAATACTCTTCTAATCTGAGTTTTTTATGCCTAGTATGCAGATACCCTTCAATTCGAGTTTCTCGTTAATATAGTACACTACATACTAGTTATTTTCTTTGTTGTGTTTTGCTTGTTCGGATCAGGTTGCCAAAAGATACTCAACCTGGACTATTAAGAGCCAAGGATGGAGCTAAGAAGTTGATGGATTTGGGACTGGAGTTTATTGAAATGGAGCAAATAATTAGGGACGCCGTTGAGAGTTTGAAGATCAAGGGATATATTTCTTAAATGTCCATAGTTGCTGTGTAGATAAACTATGTTATCGATCCTTTCAGCGCCTTATTATGTGAAACAGACACACTTCAGGTTCAACTTGATAAGAACTTTTCTAATAGAATTATGTCTCTCTCTCTTTGGTTTCTTGTTTTCACAGTTTCCTGCAAGCATAGCATCTAACTGATGGACAATTTTCGATACCATCAGAAGTTGTAGCAACGAGCTACTAATGAATGACTATGTTGAAGTTTCAAACGTAGAGTTCGATACTTTCATTTCATGATTGTATTTCAGGCTGAACACAACATCTGTTGGAAAAATATTTTTAATATCTCAAAAATAAAGTTATGTCTGAGAGATATTCCTACAATTGATTAGCATTTATGGCTTTCATTATAAGAAGTTGACAGTTACCAAAACTTTGATATTTTTCTTTCTTAAATAATATTATTTAACTATTTTCTAAGTTCCTTTCCAATTTAACAAAGCATATATTTGTGTATTATTCCTATTCATTAACAATGATTTTTCTTAATTAGGTAAAATAGTTCTTTGGCTGTTGAAGTTTTTTAGAAAAAAGGTTTTTCCTTTTGGGTAAAGATACAAAATGTACATCAATCTATTCTCCTCTTACTTGTTGGTTTTTTAAATCTTTGGTTTGATTTTAACTCCTAATTTTATATAAGAAAAAATTGTTGAATTTTTGGAATATATCTATATTAGTTGAAATATCTTAAAGAATAATGTCAGAACCTACGAGAATTTCCGTTATTTTCAATATTTTAATATCTTTAGCTTCAATTAGTTAAATTAAAAAGAAAACGGTAAAGAATCACAAAATCTAAATAAAACGACTTGAATCAAACCTAAGTATGAAGGTAAAAACCAACAAACTCTTTTTATTTTTTTCTATATCATCCTCCATATAGTTAAATCGAAAGAAATTGATAAAAGTCATAACAATGAAATAAAGCAATTAGAATCGAACCAAAACATGTATCATGACATAGAAGAATTCTACTATTAGACCACTTATACTATTTCACCTAATATTTTTTTTCCCTAAAATTTATGTGAAACTAATCGAGAGACATCTTCTAGTTTTTGTAAAAAAAAGATAAATTTTCGTTATTTTTTCGTTTATACGAAATTAACCTAGAATGCATTTTAAAACTTTTCTCTTGGTATATACATAATTTTTTTCAAAATTTTATACTCGTAAGAATTCCTGTTAGCAGGTAATCTCTCAAACGAATGTCTAACACATTCGAAACCTCTTGCATACCTCCTCAATCTATATAAAGTTTGGTTAATGTCATTTTCGTTATGACGGACTATTATACTGAAACAAGATTTATCGTATTCGAAAAAAAAAGAGAGAAGGTTTATAACTTACCTCTTTAATCGCCTACAATTGTGGTAAATTCTACACCAACAAAACAAGGACACAAGAGCTAAACACCATCTCTCTCTCATGCAAAACACACACAGAGAAAAGAGTAACAAGTGAACAACCACAACCATGGCGGCCACCATTGTTAGGTCACCGAAGCTTTCCCTCTCCCTTCCTACTCCTGAATCAACTACCTCAAATCTACCATCTCTAAACCAGAGTTTTTTCACTCCGTTACCTAAACGACGTCGTTGTATCTCGATCTACGCATGTACCGCTGGTGACCAGAGTAACAGTGCATTTGGAGGTGAAATTAAGAAAGGACAAGCGATTGAGCTTAACAAAGTTAATGATGAGAATCCTTATGAATTTAATGCTAAGGATTCACCTAATCCCTTGCCTAGTAAGTTGCGGTTTTTTATAAAATGGATTAATTTAGGGGATTTTTGTGATAATGTGATTGTATTGATTGCTATGTGTTGAGAAATGAAATTGGTGAATTTCAGGGCCATTAACTTCGGCTGATTTGAGCAATATGGCTTCTGAAGGTTCTCGTCTTCGGGTTGCTTATCAGGTATGAGTGGGTTTATGCGTGCATTTCCTTTTTTGTTTGTACTAGTTGATTAACGGAGGTAGTGGTGGATGTAGAGTTCAGTCATCTGAATCAGTAGTTCTGATCCGGAGCATTAATTTGTATGTAAAAAATATAAGTAGTAGGTCTGAAAACTTGATTTCAAAAGTACAATGGGTTCAATGCTAAGGACTTAAGTATTGAACCCATAAAGTTTAATCTTTAATCCACCCATAAACAGAGGCAGATCCAGAATTGATGGAGTGGGCGTTTTGGGATCGGATTATTTATTTTTGCTCTCACTAGTTTCAAAATTTGTATGTGTCTCTGTTAATGAGGTTGCTCGTTTTCCTCTTGTTGAGGTTTCTGATTGGTTGATTTTATTGTGTTTTCAGGGTGTGCGTGGTGCTTATAGTGAATCAGCTGCAGAGAAAGCATACCCCAACTGTGAAGCAGTTCCGTGCGAACAATTTGATACTGCTTTTGACGTGAGTTCTCCTTTGTATTCTAGAATGTCCTGGATTTGTTTGTCTTGATGAAGTATGCATATTTTTAAATCCGTGTAGGAGTGGATGACAGTTAAATCATGAACAACCATACCTTTCAAAAGAAAAAGTAAAAAGTTAACACTATCTATATAATAGGACGGGTGAAGTGGGGGAGTGCTATAAGGCTATAAGCAATAGGAAGTTCTAACAAAATGGCAGGTTTTGTGAACGGATGTGAGACAAGCAATGTTATATGAGAGTGAAACTTGGATCTCTAGACCCTACATGTTATGTAATTGAAATATAATGTTGCAATAGATGTGTCACTGGGTATGTTGTTGTTGTTGTATTAGAAATGATCAGACCTTATAGATGGTGCAAGTAGCAGGCAAAAAGGATAAAATAAATTAAGGTTGACTGCGATGATTTGTCCATGTCATAAGTAGACCCCATATATACCTGGTTTGTAGGTGTGTCAATATGATTATATAATGTGTTGAAGGGGAAGAATTTCTTATCCGAAAAAAGAAGAAAAAGAAATGGATAAGTAGACATAAAATAACACGAGGCATCTGTCTAAAAAGATCTATAATCTCATGGAATCATGTGGATTAAGTTAAGAATAGAATGAAATGGAAGCAAAAAGACTCAGTTGCTATAGCACTTACTTTGGTTCTTCTGGTTGTGAAACGTCTCTTCTTCTTTTCTTCAGGCTGGTGACATGTATGT